AAAACAGCATGGTACTGATACAAAAGAGACATATAGATCAATGGAAGAGAATTGAAAGCCCAGAAATAAAACCACACATCTATGGACAGCTACTCTTCGACAAAGGAGCTAAGAACATAGAATGGAGGAAAGAAAGTCTCTTCAATAAATGGTGTTGGGAAAACTGCACTGCCACATGTAAAAGAATGAAAGTAGACCATCAGCTTTCACCATTCACAAAAATTAACTCAAAATGGATCAAAGACCTGAAGGTGAGACCTGAAACTATAAAACTACTAGAAGAAAATATAGGCAGTACACTATTTGACATTAATCATAAAAGAATCTTTTCAGATACCATGTCTACTCTGACAAGGGAAACTAAAGAAAAAATAAGCAAGTGGGACTTCATCAGAATAAAGAGCTTCTACAAGGCAAATGAAACCAGGATCAAACTGAACAGACAACCCACCAGCTGGGAGAAAATATTTGCAAATCATATATCTGACAAGTGGTTAATCTCCATAATATATAAAGAACTCACACAACTGAACAACAAAAAAACAAACCACCAGATCAAAAAATGGGCCGAGGATATGAACAGACATTTTTCCAAGGAAGATATACAGATGGCCCCATAGGCACTGAAAAGATGTTCAACATCACTAATCATCAGGGAAATACAAATCAAAACTACACTAAGATATCACCTGACACCCATGAGAAGAACTATAATCACCAAGACAAAAAACAACAAATGTTTGAGAGGTTGTGGAAAAACGAGAACCCTCATTCACTGCTGGTGGGAACGCAAACTGGTGCAGCCTCTAGGGAGAGCAGTATGGAGATTCCTCAAATATTAAAAATAGAAATACCTTATGATCCAGCTATCCCACTACTGGGAATCTATCCAACGAACCTGAAATGAACAATGCAAAGAGGCCTATGCACCTCTATGTTGATTGCAGCATTATTCACTATAGCCAAGAAGTGGAAGCAACCCAAGTGTCTCTCTACTGATAACTGGATCAAGATGATGTGGTATATATATACAATGGAGTACTACTCAACCATAAAAAAGACAAAATTGTCCCATTTGCAAGAACATGGATGGACCTGGAGGGTAGTATGCTAAGCAAAATAAGCCAGAGAAAGACAAACACCAGTTAATTTCACTCATATGTGGAATATAAACCAACACACGGACAGAGAGAACTGTATGGTAGTTACCAGGGGTAAGAGGATTGGGGGGTGGGCACAAGGGGTGAAGGGATGCATTTATATGGTGACTGACAAACAATAATGTAAAACCAAATTTCACAATGTTATAAACTACTAAGACATCAATTAAAAAAAAGGGATTTATCCGATGTCTTAGTATATAACTTCTGGGCATGAGTGGTGACTGTATTAGTATCTGGTGAACTGAAAGCAGCTGTCAATTGTAATGTAGATTTAATAGGAAAAGAATTTACTTGTTGATAACCTACTGTGTTAGGCATGGTGCTGATACTTTTAAAAAATATCTCCATTAATTCTCATAACATCCCTGTTAGGTAGGTATTTATCTACATTTTTATGAATGGGCAAAGTGAGCTTAAGATAGATTAAGTAGCCACAATAATATAATAAGTGTCAAAGCCAAACCATTCCAACCCAGTTCTGACTGACCTCAAAAGCCTCTGCTTTTGTAATCTCACCATCCTGTGTCCCATAACCTAGGATGGACCACATCTTCCAATTCCGTGGGCATGACTTGGACCAGCTCTGTGTGAGAACTTCCCAACTTGACAACAACTTACAAAGAGCTTTCATACGTAAACTTATTTGATCTTCACAATATGACTCTGTGAGGCAATCAGGATCTGTATTATTTATCTTCATCTTACAGAAGGATTAATAGGTTCAAGATCACATAGCTAATGCTCAAACTTAGGTTGTCTGGCTACAAATCACCTTTGGCCTGTAGAACATTTGATTTTTATCTTAGGCCAGTCTTGGTACTTGCTAGTAGTGATTACTGTAGTTGACCCACTAATGACTTATGATGCTATTTGGGGAATTTGGTCTTATTTCTGGTCAAATCTTAATGCCCATACACCTAATGACTTATGAGGTTCTTCTCTCATTGTATCATGAAAAATTCTTAGGCGGGAGGTAGAATCATTTTTCCCTGATACAAACATCACAATAGGGTTCCATTTAGCTCTTATTATCTAACATCTTTGCTATAGACTGAATATTTGTATCCCCCCAAAATTCATATGTTGAAACCTATTCCCCACAATGTGACAGTATTTGGAGGGCGAGACTTAGTGTCCTTATAAGAGACCCCAGAAATCTCCCTCACCTTCCCAGCATGTGAGGACATAGAGAGAAGATGGCTCTCTAGGAACCATGAAGCAGGCCTTCAGCATCTGTCTTGATCTTAGACTTCCCAGTCTCCAGAACTGAGAAATACATTTCTGCTGTTTATAAGCCATCCAGACTACGATATTCTGTTATAACAGCCCAAGGGACTAAGACAATCTTGATCTATTCTATAACTCCGCTGTAAATGATGTGATTTCAATGTTTATTTTAATTTTTAAAAATAATCATTGTACAATGATATCCTTGTATGTACAGAATGATATCAGCATAATAGAATTTTTTCTAGAAAGAATACATTTATTATTCTCAGGTAGAGAAGGTATTCTTAATAGATTAAATGCAAAAGCCATAAAGGAAAAGAGGGATTCATTTTATCACATAAAAATTTAAGACTTCTTTAGTAATAATAGTGGTTACTATATTCTATGCACTCTTATGTAAAACCCTACAAAATAAATATGATTACTATCCCCTTTTTTCAGGTGAGGAAGTTAGGATTTAGAGAGGTTAAGTAATTTAGGGCTTATATGGCTAAATTGGTGAAGCCAGGATTTAAAGCTGGAAGTCTGACTTCAAACTCCAGGCTCTTAAGACCTACGTTATATGTAGCTTCCCTTCTCTTACAAAAAGCTTCATAATCAAAATTACAAGATAAGAAACTGACTTGGAGAAACTACATTAAATATATATTTACACACACACACACACACACACACACGAGTTTCCATAAATTAAGAAGGACAACTCAACAGAAAAGTAGGTGAGAAGCAGAAGCAGGCACCTCGCAGAGGAGAAAACGTGCACATCCACTGAACGGGTGAAAGCCCGGCCCCTCCAGCCCTCAGGGGAATGCCAACCGAAGGAACAGAGATGCCACTCCTTGTCATTAGTCTGACAGTTCAAAGACTGATTTTTGCAAAGTATTGATGAGGGTGGAAAAAAACAGATTTGCACCCTCATGTGCTGATGTGGTAGTGCAAACTGACAGAGCCTACCTTTAGGGCAACCCTGCAGTAGTCACAAATCCAGATCCCCCCCAGTCCAGCAATCGCACTCTTGGCATCCACCCCAGACCCAGGGGCAGATTCTGCAAAAACGCACGTGCACTGATAATCGTTGCCCTGTTGTTTGTCACAGGGGGAAAAAAAGATGACGCTAGACAGAATGACATAGATTTTCACGGAACATTAGTGAAAAATGTTGGAAAATATGTAGCATTGGTTTATATACACACGCACACACTGCAAAGCAAAACTATATTTACATATGTCCATATATGGTTGTACATGCATAGAAGATTACACCCAAAGACACCTGGGGGGGGAAAGGGTCTAGAAGGATTCCAGCATTTTCTGCCATAAAGATTGTTCTTAAAATTCCTATCACAAAACAAACCTACCCATTTCCCACAAATATCACAATTTAATTTCTCACAAACAAAACTCATGATGATTTTTATTGGGTCCCCTCCTCCTGTATTTTTCTTTTCTACTTACTGAACTTTGCTCTCTATCTAGGTCTTCTTACAACTGTGATATATTTTAAAGGCTTTAGCATTTCTGCCTACAATGTTTGGTCTTTCTTTTTTTCCTCTCTTTATTTAATAAGCCCATGCAGATATCTTTGCCATAGCCACAGTGTCCCCTTTTCATCTTGCATAAGAAGAAACTGACAATTACTGAGTTATGAGCTCTAAATGAGGTCTCAGAAAATTTGGATAGACTTTACATTGCCTAAGTTTTAGACGTTTGCTGTGCTAATAAGAATGGGAAATTACACATGCTGAGAAAGATTTCCTCCCTTACAAAGGGGCTAGCACAGAAGGCCATAGAATTCATGCTTCTGATTCTCGATCACAGGAATTGCCTTTGGTAATGATAATAATGATGATGCCTCAGACACATATAATATTACTCAAGTGAGGCAGAGAGAGAGAGGGATATGTCCTATGTCACACAGCTAGCTGGTAATGATAATAATGATGATGCCTCAGACACATATAATATTACTCAAGTGAGGCAGAGAGAGAGAGAGATATGTCCTATGTCACACAGCTGGCTGGTGCTAGCTCAGCATCAGCACACTTTTGTCTCTACCTTGTTCCCTGTGATTTCTTCTCTCATTTGTAGGTGGCAGTCAATCTAGTTCAAGTTTCTCCAAATCTTTCCTCGGTCACTCCCTTTGAGATTTCTTTAAATCTTTCCCTTAGCTTCTCTTTTCTCATTTGTAAAATGGAAACGATGGGAATGTCCTCCTTGGGGTGTTGTGAGAATGAAGATGAGATCATCATGCATCGTCCCATGTGTGTGTCAGTAAGACTGTTTCCACTATTGTACATTTTAAGATTATCTAACAGTTTAGAAAACCCCAGACACGAGTCTCAGTTGCTTTTCTTTTTGGGCAGATGACCACTTGCTGAATTTATCAAGCAAGTTCCTTAACACATAACTTCTTCTATTATGATGGAGGATTTCTAAGGTAGAGGTCCTCTGGGGCTGCTCACTACTGCTACTTTGTCCCAAATTTATATATATGTGTGTTAGATTCAGTTGTCACCTGTGATCCCCAGCTGAAGGGAGGGCTAAGGACTTTGGGGCCCTAGTCTTCCATGCAGTGACACTCTTAAAGCTACTGACCCAACTTCTCACCTGGGCTTCCTTCCTGTGAGCCACAGACAGAAGTCATAGATGATGGCAGGGGCGCGGTGGCTGACTGTATTCCAGTAAAGGGTTGTGATGGTGTTGGTTGTGAAGTCAGCATTGGGCCTCCTAAAAGCTTTCTCAAATGGGAATTTTTTGACGGTTGCCAAGACTTGCGGTCCTGGGAAAAAACAACAGAATAAGTGCTGAGTCTAGGAGCGTATAAACTCATTGTGGTGGATGGCGTTTACAATGGGTTAAAATAATAAAGACTAAAGATTTTCTGTGTAGAGTCAAGAATCAATTTTTGAGAACAATATTAAGATTTTGATGCGGGGCAAGTGGTCACCTGCAAAATCAAACAATGTGAGTGGGTAAGAATTGGATCCTTTTCTTGAAACCTTTACCCTAAGACAACTTCTTGGGGACATAGTTTTAGTCAATACAGTGAAGTATTGTTCAGAAAAACTTAAATCCATCATTCAATTCCTAGGTTATCCAGGAACCTTTATTAAAGTGTAAGTAAAAGTGAGAAAATAAAGGCAGGATTTCTTTGTGCTGGTTCACTTTAAATACCACAGTCTTCTACTTCTTTGGTATTCCTACATCTTTGGGAATATGCCAGACTCAGTTGTCTACTCTTGTCTCCAGAGTTTTGTTCATAATAATCTTTTTCTTTTCATATTATATCTTAGATAAAACCTAATTAACAACTTTTAATGTACATTTGTAAATTCAATAATTCTTTTCAAAAGATATTCATTTGAATTCAATTTTGATTTATTTATGTAGAATTTTCAAAGAATACGCCTAAGTTCATTATTCTATTATGATGAAGACATCACTTATTAAGGTAATATGATTATTGTCCTCCTTAAAAGACACTACCTGGAAATCTATATGAAAAATGTGTACACTATATATACAAAGAAACATCTGATCCAGGACTCTTTTCCTCCCAGAGGGATTCATATTCACTTTTAAGAGTCACTAATGGAGTAGTTATTGCACATTCAAGAGAGGCAAGCAACCTGTCTTCTACCTGTATTTCAGGCACCAGCTCCCCATATGAATTTGAATAGCTCATACTCTCTCTGGGCCTCATATGTGAAATAAAGTGAGCACTATTTATTTTAGATTATTTTTAAGATCACTTTCAACTATGACTCTCTAATTTTATGAAACAGATAGTAAGCATTTTCAGCATGGAAGAAGACTATTTTGAATCTCAGAAATGGAATTTACCTGTAGCATCTTTTTATTTAAGAGCTGAAGATATCTCATTTGATTCTATTAATGCTTTCTTTTTATGAGTGGTATCTTAATTCTGTTACTGAGGTAAAGGAGATTTATTTTTATTTCCAAATGGTTTCAGAACTATTTAGACATAGGATCTAAATAACTGGATATATGATCTAAAGAACTTTGATGGTAGTAGATAATTTCATTTAATTTTTACTGAACTAATAACTTTGCAAATAGAATAGCACAGCAGAGTGCTCTGAACTGAAAATTAGATTCTAACAAGTCAAGTATATTTACTTTTTTTTCTACATCTAGTACCTAAACAACAACTAGATGATCTAAAAGTTTCAGATATTCACAAGAAAATCAACTCCTAAACAGACAAAGGAATACAGGATCGGTTAGCTAATTTTCTATTATATGCAGAGTTAATTACTTCAATTCAACAAGACACTTTCAAGGTCACACTCACGGCTAACTGCATAAATTAATGAAGAGTATCACTGACTTGATAACAAAAGTTAATATTACTGGACTTTTCTAAATCCACTTGGTCATTGGTCATTTCGCATTCTCAGTGATGTAGCAAAGGGGCAAGGGATGTGCACATGAGAGCAGTTGCCTCGGGAGGAGGAGTATTTTATCACTGACATTGCTTATAATTGCTAACTCTTACTTGGCTTTATTTATTTTTTAAATCTCTATAGCCAATGGACCTCATTGCTTACAATCACGAGATGTTCCCACTGGCCCCTTTCTTTGGTATACCATAGTCATTCTAGCTAACTCGCACACATTTACAATTTGCATTATTTTATCTTGTTTTAGACTCTAAGCTCCGTGACGCACTTTGTCTACCTTTTCCCCTGTGGCAGACACTAATAGTGTGTGGGCAGTCGCTAGTAGATATGTAGTTACATCACAATAGGCACTTACCCATTTTGCCCCAATTACAGGGATTGAGGTTACCAGATGTACAGTGGTAGATTAACATTGACGTAGGTCTGGAAAGTGAAATAAAATTAGATAAATACAACAAAATGGAGAACTAATGAAAGAAAGAGAAGGGAAAATAACATTTAGACAAAGTTACTTCAATAATTCCCATGACTAAGGCAACCTATGCAACACTTCCATCTTTGTTCCTTCTTTGGGTTAATAAGCAAAATGGAAGAAGACTAGGAAAAGTGTGTGTGTGTGTGTGTGTGTGTGAAAGAGATCTCAAATGGGTTAACATATCTATGGAGCAAATGGAGGTGCCATGATGATGAGAAAGCAGGTTATATTTCTAACTTCTGGACATGGTTACTGGGCAAAAATATAGGCTATGTTTTCTCATAAATCTGGTTAAGCCGTGCTGAATTGGAAACATCTAAATGTCTGACTTCAAATAAGAAAATATTAATTCTGTTTACCTTTTACTAACAGAGCCAAATATGCAAATAACCTATTTTTTTCCTTTGTACTAGGAAATACCCCCCACATGGTGATCTGAATTTTTGGCATTTATCAGGAACTGAGCAGTTCCATAAAATATAAATGTGTTCTCATTTCATCTATTTTTATTTCCTTTGCCTTAAAAAAGGAAGCTGTATTTCAGATTACTAAATAGAAAGAAAAGCTTTTTGGTTATTAAAAATTTTATGGTTAAATGAATTAAAGACTTTGTTACTTTATGATCAACGAAGTAGTAAGCAGTATTTATAAAACAACTCAATGCACATATGATGGCTTATTTGGAACTATACAAATATCGAAACAGATGCCCTCTCACATTTGGGGTATTCTATGATAAAATGAATATAATCTGAAAATAAGCCTAACATATTCACTCTCCTCCTCATCAAATCCTTGAAAGCCAGCTTAAGCATCCACACCTGCGAACTGCCATGTACCATCCTACAGCCAAGGTGAGGTTGACGACTATATCAACTGGAACTACATCTAAGACATCCTTCGGAGTAGCTCTTAAGGCCCGAAGAAGTCCTTTCCCGGTCTGCACAGGAAAAAGATCATCAAATATTAAACCAGAGCTTAAGTAACAGCTGGGTCTAAAACATACATCAGACAGATAATACTAATGCTGTTAGTAACAATAGCTAACGTTATTCACTGCTTAGTAGGTTATCGTGCTGAGGCTGACTTCTCTCCTCCTAGCCAACCTCCCAGCCAAGTTCATCTCAAGTGCCAGTATTTCCATGAACCACTAGTGGTCCTCAGGCTGCTTTAGGGAGTGAAATTCCTCAAATTTGTGAGAGGTTAATATATTTACTTAATTAACAAACACCAAGAATAGGTTTTCACATCTTAAAAATTAATTCATAAGACATTTTAAGAATTAAGGTTTCCCAAATTTTCCCTTAATATTAGTTTACTTTTTCTTAAATGATGGTGTTTTCTGCTAGTGCTAGCTAACTTACAAGCAACAGTAGATGCTAAAAGTTTAAGAAACATTTTATTTTAAAAAATTAACAAAATTCTACCATTTAACAAAAACTTTTTTTATTACTTGGGAAAAGGCCACCATTATTTACTTTTTGTTCAGTATCTTAGTTTACCTCACAGATCACTGATGTTATGTAGATGCAAGAATTGGGAATTATTCACACGTCATGTCAATAATTAAATGTCAGTTAATAAATAAAAAGTCATGTTTATTGACTTATGAAATAATTGAGTATTTATACCCCACATGTTTCCATAATTGATTTGCAGTGGTTAGCACTTTCTTACGTTTCTAATTTCTATTTTTTGGTAACTGATTGCCCTTCTTTTGGACATAAGAAACCAGTTTGGAAAATTTTAGAAAATTTGAATAAATGTGCTGCTTTGGAAACAACATAATAAAACTCACTCTGGGATCAAGTTAAAATAATTATGTTCTAAGTTACCAAACATTAACCCCAACTAAGCCTTAAAGAAGAAAGAGTTGGAGGCAGGTAGGGAACAGAAAGAGAGCGGCTGCTAGAAAAAAAAGGAATCAGAAAGAAGCTCATTGTCACTGTCTTTGACACGTCGTCATAGTTCATTATCTTATATTTGTATTTTAGTTCACGGTGGACCTAGTTCTGAGAAGAACAGGCAGAGTCTGAAGCACGAGATTATTTCTAATGAGACGTAAGCCCAGTTAGAGAACTGAACACTATTCGTTGTTCTCAAGAGCAGAGCCGTGCTTCTGGTCCTAAGATGCTTCCACGTGAACTGCGAGGCACCACAGCTCAGGCTGGACCCGTCTTCACCGCAGGGAGACTCGTGCAAAGAGCTGCTGAGCTAGAGGAACCGTTGATGCTTCCCCTGGTCTGTGAGAGGATTAGCGCTGACAGTGCTTCCCACAGACATCAATGTCTGTATCTGAAACATTCGCTCCAATCGGGAGTTCTCGTTCTCGTATCTATTAAGAACTAGTTATTGATGTAATTTATGTACATATATAATTTCTATCCACACACACGTAAACTCTTGTGTGTGTTTTATAATCAAGGATTTAATAGTCTTTGCGAATATGATTTTTATCGCACCCTCAATTTGCTGCACTAATTCGAGCTATTAATAACCAGCGAAAAGCAGGAAACACCCCCATCTTGTGGTAACTAAGGGGAAATACAGACATGGTCCTCGATGTCAGACTTTCCAACCGCCCCCAATAGTAATTGATGCTATCACAGTACCTCTGTTTTCTTGATAATAAATATTCCACAAATAATAAAAGTAATTTGACTCTGCCTCTATTTTCCAATCAGCAAAATTGAGATAACTTGCTTCAATTGTAGTTAGTAAAGTAACATTTATGGTTTTGGATCAATGAAGCTAAGCCAATACTAAGCATCTTGTTACTATCCCTCCACTACATTTCAAGGAGTTATTTACAATCATTATACATACCGCAATAATGATCCCATTAGGTCCATTTAGGTTATCAACCCAACCCTAAAAAAAAAAAAAAAAAAAAAAAAAGATCTCTATTGGTTACACATGTCAGAAAAATTTTAATACCTCTGGAACATCTGCATGTGATCTTAACAAATTTCAAACAAGAGCACTGAGACCCTAGTCCATAGAACTGTCTAATCCAGTATTTCTAAGTTCAAAAAGAAAGATCAATGGCAAGGCACTGACTATTTTCTGCACTTTCTTTGTGTAAGAATTAAAATCCTGCCAGCGTTTTTTTCATAGTAAGAGTCACGATGGTTTCAAGTTGTTTTAGATATCTTCGGGGCTAAAGTGGACCTTGTCTTAATATCATAATCTGCTAACCAATTCATGGACCATCATTTTTTCTCCACGTAGGCCCTGATTTTAACTCCTAGAGGAACATTTCAAACATGATTTGTAGGAATCATCCACTTCTTGAAAATTTTAAGAGTCATAGCATCCATATGATATATCTATTAATATACGTATTTATTTACATATAATTTTATAGATATATTTATATATTTATTAGCCTGCTTAGCTATGTTAGAGGAAAGAGTATGTTAAGGAGCAGTTAGAGAGAAAAGTCTTTTTGTCTCCCAAGCCCTAAGCAAGCCGGTTGACCTTATTGTGCCTGTATCTTTATCCATAAAGGTCAAAATGTGTGTAACATGGGAGAGGAGAGAGACTAGAGGAGAAAATGAAGGGAGTAATATTTGTTGAGCCTTTTACTAGGGATCAGACCACTGCACTAAGCATTCCTCGTACATTATCTCATCTGATCAACTCTCCAAAGTGGGTAGTATTAGCCCAGTGTTTCAGATGAGACAACTCAAAAGCCTGCATCGTCAGTAAGCAGTGGAGCTTGAATTTATCTGGCCCTAACACTTTACAGAATTGCTTCAAAGAAGATGGTGTAATTCAAAGTACTTTCAAAGGGAGGTGGCATATAGAGGTAGAAAGTATTACTCCTAAACCGAGACTCTTCTGTGAGCTTTGTGATTTCTATTTACTCTGGCAGTTGTGATACTACCAATCTGGCTGTCAAGAACATTCTGGTATATCTAAACTATACTGGGAAAGGCAAGAACTAGAACTATCTCCCATGGGAATTTTGAGGCGCTAGTTAATGAGGGGCTAATTTAAGACCTTGACCCACCTGTGGGACAGTCAGGGTAACTCTCAGAGGAGCCTCAGGCTGGATTAGTCCTGAAGCAAATGTGGACTTTTGCCCTAATACAATGAGTTAGTGTTTGATTTGCTCAGGTATACATCTTGAGAAGCAAAAGGAAAAAAAGAAAAGAAAAAAAAGGACATCAGAAAATAATTGGGCTAGAAGGACGCTGGTTTGGAAGCAAAGCATGGAATCCAGGGCAGTGAGCTTACTGGGAAAGGCTCCTGCCAGGTTGCTCCCACAATGGAGGGCCTTATGATGGCAATGTTTAGGTTCCTGCTCTCCTGCTGCACCACCATCTCTCCCAGGGCCTTGGTGAAGGTGTAAGCATTGGGCCAATCCCCGATCAGCTTGGGTGCAATCTCGTCAATAACAGCGTCGTCCAACCACCTGAAGGTAGACAGAGTAAAAAAAGAATTCTAGCAACATACGTTAGACAATAGCAACATACGTTAGACAATAGATCAAAAAGAAACTGTGAGACAGACAATGAAACAAAACTTCCACTTTCTAGCTTGAGTTCTGGAATTCAGAACAGTCACATGATAGCAAGGCTGAGCGTGTACCTGTTCAAATCATGCGTGATGGATGAGCTCTTTACTCTCCACCGTTGAGCCCCGTCTTACCAGTCAAACCTCTCGTCTAGATAGAGCAATTCAAGAGCTATGCAATCTACTGCTTTATTACATATAATCTCTAATTATCTCCAATCACTTCCTCTCCAACAGGTTCATAAGTACATTCATTGATCATATTTGTGAGTGCCAGTCATGTGCCCAGAAGCATGCTGGGTGCTATGTTCATGGCGTGCTGAGGCTCTCTCAACCAAGGTTCTTCAGTGGCAGCCCACCCCCCAATTCAGTGTTCTCCCATTAAAACCTAGGGTATCCATCTTGCAGCCTTTAGCTTTTAATTTTTAAAATTTCACTCAATGCCTCAACACATAAAAGCAACTACATTTGACAGACTTACAATCTGTTTTAGCAAATCTGTGAAATGTATTTTGAAGGTCTGTTTGGAGTCTATGCTAATAACTGGGTAATTATTTCCAGAGAATTCCAGTGAATTCTGAAGTGCTCTAATAACTATTAATAGTCTGTCAAGGGGAGTGATTATATTACTCTGAAGCAGCTTTAATAGAGCAATCATTGACTACCCCTACTTAAAGGAAGTCATGTATCCTGAATAACAGTTACCGTGGCATCAGCCTAATGTTTTTTTTTAAAGCTGTCAGAACCATTTTGATAATCCCAAAGTTTATCTGCACTTCTCTAAGAGAGCAATAAAATTATTTGTCAATTAAATAATGTTTCTCTTAGCTGGTAGATCTATTTGGTTAAACTTTTGATATAATCTAGTTTTTAAAAATTAGGCTACCTGACTATGTTAGTGCGATTTTTATAGTCAAGGTATTTGGTACCTTTGTTCCCATTTTAGCAGGCCAAGCACAGTCTTACTATTTTGGTTGTAGAAAAATCTTGGTGGTTACCACTTGGCTCCCATGACGAATAGTTGAGCGTTTAAGACGTGCTTAATGCCAAGACTTATTCAGAAACGGAAGTCTCACTTTCAATAATTCTCATTTGATATTGGAGAGGAACTTGAGCACTGTCTATAATGTTTGGTTTTCCTTGCTTGCTGCTACTAGTGCTGAGCATTTTCTAGATACTCAAGTGCCTCTTGATTTAAATTGAATAGGGAAAGGCTGAGAAGTTCCTAGAACTAGAAACAACTCCAAATACTTAGTAAAATAGAAGATATTCCAATGCTATGGCCAGCTGAGGGACGGGAGAGAGTGTGGGATATGCAGGCACCTCTCCATCTTCATAACGATGTTACCTGTACCTCATCTGATTTGTGGGTCAACAGTGGATTAACTGACCTAACACCATTTTCTTTCACCTGCAAAAACATAAAGGTTACACAAACCAGGTCAGAAGAAATATGCCTAATTTCAATAAGGCTGTAAAGAAAAACATTCTGAGAAAACATCAGGGCTGGCCCCGTGGCTTAGCAGTTAAGTGCACAGGCTCCGCTACTGGCGGCCCGGGTTCGGATCCCAGGTGCGCATCGACGCACCACTTCTCCGGCCATGCTGAGGCCACATCCCACATACAGCAACTAGAAGGATGTGCAACTATGACATACAACTATCTACTGGGGCTTTGGGAAAAAAAAAGGAGGAGGATTGGCGATAGATGATAGCTCAGAGCCGGTCTTCCTCAGCAAAAGGAGGATTAGCAGGGATGTTAGCTCAGGGCTGATCTTCTTCACACACACACAAAAGAAAACATCAGAACCCAACAATGCACTGGGATTGCATGTCACATGGCTGGGACCAGTCACTGTCACGGATGTTGGTGGGCATGGAAAGGGCGACACCTGGAGGCTTCACCAAATTTGGTGAGTTAGCAGGTCTTAGAAAATATTGGTTTCCTGGGTTTCTGAGAACACAAACGTAAAAGAAGTTGTAGTGTTCTGCAGATGGCCTGACTCCACTATTCCTAGCTCCACCCGTATTCTACTGTCTCATCTTTTCATTTCCTCCATTTTTACTTGTGAAAAATGGCAATAATTATATCTGTTCTAAATCTTCAGGTTATCATGAAGACAGACGGGAATATTCACAACTGCAATTAAAGTTATTTGATAAAACAAAATGAGCCAATGAAGCTAAGATATTCTTACCTTCAAAAACAACCAAAGAGCATATATCTACATAGGTAATAGTTCTAAGATATCTTTTCTAATACAGCCAGACAGACCATCACCTACCTCATCCACCCACTTCCCAGTTTCAGAGAGGAGTGTAGTGTACCAAGCGCACACATCCATTGGTTAAGTGATGCTCTTTTGGGGACCTATAATCAGTTCACGGTCTTCTTTACCAAAGTTTGATTTGCTGCTCTTGTTTGTTTTCAGTTTGTTTTTAAAACAGTAAATAGGTTGGCATGGAAAAAAGACACCATAGAAACCAAAGTACATTTCCGAAATTAACCGAATGCCCTTCACTGTACTCAAGATGTTTTGAGCCCATGGGTCCCAAATTCTAAAGTTCTACTTAAATTGCTTCAAAAGAAGCAAAAAGTAATTGAGGATTTCAGAAGATTTCAGATACACATACACACACACACATATACTACACACAATTTCCTCTAAATATTACTATTAATTTTTGGTTTGAAAGTTATTGAATCAACCTCCTAATATCATTAATAACTTCATAATTTGTGTATTACTAAATGAAATAGCAAGAGGAATATGCATTTTTCCTCCTAGTTTTCTTATTCAATAATCAGGGCAAACCTAGTGGTATGTCAGGAAAAGCTCTCTGGGGAGTAAGCACTGGACACATTGCCTCCTGGGAACGTTGGCTCTCTCTGTGTCTTGTCTGGATCATGTGCCTCCCCTGACTATTGCAATTATCATGCTGTATGTACTTGCTCATGTGTCTGTTGCCCCACTCTATGATGAGTCCAGAAGGGCAGGGATTATGTTTTTTATCTCTGTGTCCAATCACCTTTCTGCCCCCAGGAACCAGCTACCTTACTCAGTATGTAAGTGGGTGCTCCCCCACGTGAGTCTTGATTGGCCAGTTTGTGTTCTGGGTAAGGTTTTGGGAAGCTGAGATGGACAATGACAGGAGAAAACAGGTGAACTCAGAAGGAGTTGAGGTTGTAGGGAGACCGTGGGAAACGAAGAAAGGGGGTGTCTTTGCAGAGAATGAAGCAAAACTGGAAGTTGAAGTGTCCAGTGGTGCTGGTGAAAAGCCTTCAGAAGCTGAAAGGCTGAATGTTGACCTACTTCAGTGGGGGCAGAGCTGGCTTTGGAGTAAATTTATCTGGCTTCGAAATAAATTTAAACTTCTTGGGAAGAGGGATGTATCTGATCACTAGGGTGATCCCTAGTCCAATGGTGGTGAATTGGCCTCAGTATTTCTCCCCAGAAATGCTTTTATTGAGCACCTGTTCTGGCCTCCAACGGCTTGACAACATGAAAACTATTCAGTTTGTTTAAGAAACAATCTGACCATGCTCTGATTCATATTTAAAGCCTAGTAAGATTAAAAGTACACAGAATTTTCCATTTTTGGTCAGCAGCTTAGATCCTATCTTAAGGCTATACAATCCTGACAAGAAAAGCGCAACTGCTAAAATTAGCTTTTTCCTTTTCCCCAGGATAGATAAGCTTCCTTAGTGTCAACAGTGTGTTCTCAGGCACCGAGGCAAAACTACTTTCCTGAGTCTGACCTCCTTTCTTGTTTCCCAAAGGGCTGTTACTGGGGCTTGTCAGCTACAGGAGCCTTCATCTTTCCTGCTCCTCACCCTCCACCCACAGCGCACCCGCCACAGCTGATCACAATCAGGGTTTGAACAAGAGACACCTTTGCTTTTTCACATGGCAGATTAGCTGCATCTTCTGGTGCCCAAGTAACTTCAAACGTGTGATTTTCAGTAGGTACAAATCTATCGGGAACTTTTTACTCAATTAAGGCATCTAGGAATTGAAAGACCACAGAAGGTGAGGGGAGTAGGGAAAAGAGGGTGCACTGATTACTGGAATATAAATGAACCCCATTTCAAATGAAAACTGTTAAATGAGTAAGTACTTTAAGGTACTATTTCCCAAACTTGCCTGCTCCTAAGTAAGACTTACAGGGGTTTTCTGATAAAATCCAGATTCCTGGGTACCATCTTAGACCCACTCCATCAACCTCCAGGGGTGTTCGTCTGATGATCTGTATTCTAACATGTCCTGGTGATTCTTATGATCAGGCAGACTGGGGAATCACTAATTTAAAAGATCTCCACTCCACAAACTTAAGTCCTTGAGACTCACTAAATTGGGATTAGCTTTCAAATGAAAAGGGTGTGGACCTACACACCACTCATCAAGCCATACTGTGGCGGTGTCCCACATACAGAAAAAAATAGAGGAAGACTAGGATTGGCACAGATGTTAGCTCAGTGACAATCTTCCTCACCAAAAAATAAATAAATAAAAATAAATAAATAAAATAAAATTACAGATTCTTCCTCACAGGGATCTTCTTCAAAGGAATCTGTGATCCTTTTGTCTCTTCTGTGTTGATTTTCAGTGTACTGTTTCCACCTCCCCTTTATTTCCTTCATTTTCTCCTGGCCAGATAGTGTGCCTCTCTGTGGGTTGTTCAGCATTCCTAATCTAGGTTTAAATTTCCCTTTGATTTCTTGAATATTCTGGAAGAGACCTCTTGTTCCTCCTTTTTTGTCATTTTCTTCTATCTCTTTGCATTGGCTGTTATGGTAGTTCTTTTATCACTACATGACAGTGGCTGAAAAACAGCATTCAGGATTCTAACCCTACTTCTGTGACCTTTTACTTTTGCTTCTCGCTTGTCCTTAACAATT